GTCACCTATAACCAAGAATGTAAAATGAATTATATTATTTACTGATAATTAAACTAGTTCGCAAAAATCATACGATCCATTGGGTGGAATAAATACAGCATTGAATATAGTAGTAGCCGCAACACTTGATATAATTTAGACACAAGTGATCGCAAAATTTTATCAATGCGGCTGATTTAAGGAATTTGGCTTTATTCAAATCCTCCATCTACTGGGTATCTACGATTCTTACGTATCTGACTTTATAAAACTATGGACCGGAATTTGCAAGAATCCAATTTTTAAAAATAATTGGGTTTTTGGAAAAAGGCCAATTTAAAAAATCTGCTAAATTGCCTAGAGACAAACAAGTTTATTTCAAAATTGTAAAATACTTTTAGCGTGCAATAATGAAATAAAAAATGGAATCTTATTTCCACCTTATCTTTAATATGACCCACAATTATACCGGGTTGGTGAAAAGTAACTAAACAGGTCCCCATTTTTACCATCTCCGCTAATATATAATTTATTACGATGATTACTAAACATTAAAATGATAATCAGTGTAACTTTTACAAACTCGGGTAATAAATTAAATATTAGCGGAGATGGTAAAAATGGGGACCTGTTTAGTTACTTTTCACCAACCCGGTATAAACATGACAAATAGAACTTCCCGTGGTTTAAAAGGCGTTACCTAAAAAAAAAATCTATAAGATAATGGCCATTTGTTTTAGTACTGTGTCACTTTTTTGTGGTTTAGTGAATCTCTTTTTGTTGAATAGTTTAGTGCGTACAAGATTATTATTGAGCGATTTTTTCTAATTTAATTATGTCATTTAGTCATTGGCTATATTGCCTGCAATAATTTCATCAAAGAAATGTATAGTATATAAATGATAGTAAAATTTTAAATTCGAATTGCACTCAAAGTGTCAAATAAACCTATTATTTCACGTAATTGAATATATACAAGCTCAATCACCAGAGCTGTTTTTTATTACATTTTCAATTTAGTAGTAATAGGTAAATTGTTCAATAATTTTGCGATAAGAGAAGTCTTTATTCTTACTAATCGTATAATGGGAAACCTATATCTGTTTCCGATTAGAAAATATGAAATTTGAGAAAACTACAAAAGTTATTAGCGTAAAGGTATTATATTAGTATAAAAACTTTTACCAAAAATTTAGATAGATTCTTATTATGATTATTAATCTTAATTCCATTATTTATTATACAGTAAAAGTATTATATTACAGCTAACATAAACACACTAAACTAGAACAAATTTATCTATTATTTCATTTTTCCCAACACCTCGATTATTCTTAAAAAAACCTCTTAGCATTTTTAAATCAAGATACTTTTTATTATGGCCAATAATTCTAGCTTACTTAATTGTTTATGGATAAGCTTTTTCATTTTTGCTACTGGGACCGGTGTTTTATCAGGATATTTAGTATCTAATGCTTATTATGAATGCCTAAAAGGAAGACTTACATCTTCTAGTTCATACTCAACGTCATATTCCATTAACTCGATTCCTTGTAACACATATGATAATATTTCTGGTGGCATTATTGCTGGGATAGTTTTAGTAATTGTTGGGGCGCTTTGGTGCTGTACTTATTGTATAATTCTAAGTCGAAAGCTGGCCCCTCCAAAACTTCCAACCTACCAAAGCCAACCAACAAACGGAAGAATGTCAATTATGGCACACATTAAAAATGTTTTTAAGAAAAAAGAGGAAAATGTTGAGTCACAAGCTCATGAAATCACTCCAACACTCCAAAGCCAGTCAACAAATCAAAGATCTCTATTTCCGAATTTTCAGAAGAAAAAGGATGATACAGAGTTACAAGCTCATGAAATCACCCCAACACACCAAAGCCAGTCAACAAATCAAAGAAAATCTCTATTTCCAAATTTTCAGAAGAAAAAGGAGGATGCAGAGTTACAAGCTCATGAGGTCGTATAAGAAATTATTTAATGAATTTCGGATTCAGAAGGTATAAAAAATCAATTGTTTATTGTTTTTAAAACCTTTTTTTATAGAAAGCATTGTATTTATATATAATAGACTTTACTAAATAAACTGAATATTTAAATCATTTAGAAATTGTAAGTAACCGAGAAAAACCGAATCAAAGTGAAATAATTGAATTTTGTTAAGTCAAATATTTTAAATACATTTCATAAATAAAATATTTTTGGCCAAATAATCATGTCTTTTGATTTATGTTATTTAAATACTACCGCTACTGCATAGCTAGAATTTATTCATTCATTAGCTCTTACAGTAGACCGAGGTGCTACCCAGGAGTCAGGTTTTATATTGGTTGTTTATACTGTACGTACGATAAATTGTTTTGACAAATTGATCTTGTGCAGCATGGCTGGATGATGTAATTCAAACATTTCCATAATAATAATTGTCGATGAAGTCTGGGTGATGCTGAAATTAACACACGATTAATTTTTTTAGATTAATTTCAGTATACCATCGTTTTATAATACAGTAGATTGAAATTAATTTTCAAAGCAACAACAAAATGAATCGCTAGAAAAATATAAAGCATATGAACGTAAACAATAATATTTGAAAAGATCGAATGTATTATCAATTGAATACGCTATAATGTATAAACGAATTTAAGACAACCATATCAAAATACGCGTAGTGCAAATAACGACGGAATGATAAACGACAAAATTAAACTGTATTATAACAAATATTTTATGGAATATATACAAAAATGGTCATCCGACCATATAGATCTTTATCTCAGCTTATTAATTAGAATTAATCGTGATGAACTAAAATTAGAAAAAATTTACTTCAAGATGCATTTTATTATTGTAATAAAGTGGGTTTAAACAAAATACGATATTTGTTACAAGTTTTCCTAGTTAACTAATCAATTCCAATTAAAAAATTTATATGCGAACTGCCTTTCTATATGATATATAGGGGATTCGTTATATACATGATATGATTGTACACTTGCGTTTTCTTTAGAAGACCGTTAAAACGTCATCTTTGGTAGTCAGATTCAATCGATTCATTTAAAATGTCAACTTCAAGTATTTTTAATAGATGGTCTGCTTCAAGTATTTTAAACGTATCTGAGGGACGCTCGAATTTACCGAATGATTGGGCTAATTTATTTTCCTTGTTTTTAATAAGTTCAGCATCAATCTCTGAAAGTCTCAGTAAAATTTCATCCAAATTAATCCGTTTTTCTGGTTTACCACACCACCCTTTACATAGTATAACATTAGTACATAATTCGTAAAAGAAAAGAAAATTATTTATAACCGAAAATTGATATCAATACCTTCTTTAATGATTCTTAAATATTTCCGTTGAGCATGAAGAAAGTCTAATGAATAAAAAGGTTGTTCTTGGGTTTCTCTACGATTTTGAGTAACATGAACAATAATTTCTTCTTTGGTCATTTTTTCATAAGGAATTTTTTGGAAGGCTAATTCCCATAAAAGCATCACAAAACTATAAAAATAAAATAATCAGTATACACAATATCAATATAACTGTAGACATAAAAAAGATGATGATAAAATACCTAAAAGTTTCACATTCTTCTGTGTATGTTGCATTCGTTTTCATCATTTCAGGAGCAGCCCAATTAATAATATTTAAAATAAAGTCGCCATTACCATCCGCTTCCAACAAATTTTTTGCATGATAAAAATTTGAGATCTTTGGTTCCATATAATTAGTCATCTACGATACATCCTAATTAGAATGTTTAAAAAAATTTTTTTTTTAAAAAAAAAAGGAATCTAAAAACAAGACATACCACTATATTTTCACATCGAATATCACGATGAAAAATGCCAAGATGATCTAAAAATAGTAAACCATTGCAGATGTCACGTCCTATTTTAACTTTTAGATTCCATGGAATTTTTCTCTTTTCGTAAACGCTTTTTAAACTACCTAAGGGAGACCATTCAAAAACCAACATTTCAAAATCATCAATTTTTGAAATTCCATAAAATTTAAGGATATTTTGATTATCACTGAATCTCTTTAATTCAGTCAACATTGACATGTTATGAGTGTAAATAGTAATAGGTTCACACGCCACTTCAATGCCACTTTTGTAAATCTTTTTTACAATTTGCTTTTGTTGGGCGCGGCAATCTTGTCCACCTTTTTGGTCCTTAGCCGGGTCTTTTACAACAGGAGGATCAGACAATAATTCCGAATAAATTCGTGGTACACTGACATCTAAAACAGATCTTTCGAGTAAATTTTGAACTATTTTTTCGATTTGAACTAATGTTTGATTTTTATTATTGCCAGGAATAGTTTTCAATATCTACATATGTAATAAAATGTAAACGATAAATATTTAGTAAAATGAAGTTGTTTTATTAATAACAGTTTATTAATAACAGTTTATTAATAATATTTTATTAATAACATTTTATTAATAACATTTTATTAATAACAGTTTATTAATAACAGTTTATTGATAATATTAATACAAATATACCTCATGAATGTCCTTAAATTTTTTTTGCTGCATTTCTTGTTTAACAATTATAACTTTAATCAGAATTGAATTTAACTTTTTTTCATAAATCTTATGTTCAGTCATCAATTTGTCATACTCCTCATTCACCTGCCTATATGGATAAACGATATAGGAGCCTTTTTCTATTGTTTCTATTTCTTTCGCAAATTTTTTTA